ACTCTTGACTGAGCTTTCAACTCGGAAGTGAAGTGCTGGTGTTGTTTGCCAAGTTGAGTTCAGGCATAGTAAGGAGGCTTAGGAGTGAGCTCTGAGGCAAGGTAGGTGATCGTCTGCTAGAAGACTCATGAGAGGAGAGAGAAGAAGGGAAGCGCTCGGTGCTTCGCACCTGAGCTGTGAGGTGAGAGAGGAGAGTGCGAGAGTGTGTGTGGGGTTTGCGGGGGGATCGGCCGTTCCGGCCACCTGGGCTCCAGTGCTCAATGCAGCGGGGAAACCCGAGGCGGAAAGGAAAGGAACGCGGCAACAGCCGAGCCCGCGATGCAAAGGCCACTGAGGGTCCGTGAGGAGGAGACCCAAAGCAACCCAAGTGTAGTGAGAAACAAAAGAAGAAAAGGAGGAGGGTGGGTGGGGAAAAAGGAACGAAAGTGGAGGACGAGGAGGACAACTGGAGTCGACGAGGACGATGGCAGGATGAAAGCCGAGAGCTGGCTGTGTAGATAAGATTGACATGATCTAATCTACACAGCGAGACCGTGAGGGAGTCCTGCGCCTACTCTCACTTCCTTGCCTATCACTCAGGCAGGCTCGCAGGCTCACCTTGCCTGAGCTAGCAGCAAGGTAGGTGATCGTCTGCTAGAAGACTCATGAGAGGAGAGAGAAGAAGGGAAGCGCTCGGTGCTTCGCACCTGAGCTGTGAGGTGAGAGAGGAAAGTGCGAGTGTGTGTGTGGGGTTTGCGGGGGGATCGGCCGTTCCGGCCGCCTGGGCTCCAGTGCTCAATGCAGCAGGAAAACCCGAGGCGGAAAGGAAAGGAACGCGGCAACGGCCGAGCCCGGGACGCAAATGCCACTGAGGGTCCGTGAGGAGGAGACCCAAAGCAACCAAGCTGGAGCGAAGCTCCCAGAGACCAAAGGGCTCGTGCGAGGGCGAAACGGGCCCGAAGACCCCACACTAGAGCGGAGAGACAGCACAAGAAAAGAAAAGAAAAAATTACAATCAAATACCGGTTGGAACACAAGAAAGAGAGAACAAGTGAATCAGTATAAAAGAGCGGGACTCCAGCAGAGACAAATTCATTTGCCCGCACACGACCCAATGATAAAGACAGCGAGAAGGACGCGGGAGGCAGCGATGTGGTCCGACTCGGGTATAACCTCGAGATCCGAGATTTGACTGCGGGCAGGAACCGTATCGCTGGCGCACCACGGAGAAGCGGTGTGCAGGCAGCACTGAGCAAAAAAGCTGACCTCCGTTCAACACCGTCGTCATCAAACGGGGAAGTATTGGAGGAGTGCCAAGAGATCAGGTACGCGAGTTGCCAGGAAGTGCAGAAAAGGGAACAGAGGTGCACATCATGCTATTGGGGAATAAAAAGAGGCAGGTCGGCGAGCCAGGAACAAGAAGCGAGATGAGAGGCGTGGGAACGATGCAAGGGGCGGGTCGGCGACCGGTGTGAGCCTGAACGGGCGAGAGATCAAATGAGCGAGAGGGAGGTCCAGGTAGGGCGATTTTTCGGTGTGACCGTTGACGACAATGTCCTGCAGCTCACAAGGAAGCTCGAGCCCGTCGAGGCGGTCGCGTGCAAGGACTTGGCGAGACGGCCCGGGGGAATCAAGGGGGAATGGCAAATGCCACACGAAAGATCGCCTACAACGTTGCCGGCGGAAACGGGTAATAAAAAGACCTGCGAGGCTCGAATGAGCAATACGTGCAGAAGCAGGCCGAACGAGTAGCAGCGGCCGAGGCTGAGCCTGAGCTGAGGCAGAAACAATCATCAAAGTGGAGAATGAGGAATGGGCGAGGAACGCAACAAGTTTCATGGGAATTGATGTTGAGAGCACCACCTTGAGTGGCTATCGGAGGGGTGTTAAGCGGTCTAAGGCAGAGGCTAGCCCTTATCGTGCGCATGTGGCACGAGAAGGAATGGATGGAGTGAGGGCAGTGGGACGGTGTCGAGAAACACCGCCGACGCGGGAGCGCGGAGACGGAGAGGGGGTCTGATCGTTTTGGCCCTACGTCTGTCAAAACAAAGTCCTGGCTACTGAACGGGTTTGTGATCCCGTAAAGAGAAATATGGGACGGTGAGTGCGGCAGAGGCAGTCAAGGATGGAAGGAAGGAATGTGCGAATGCAGAAGTGGGCCTTATTGAAAACCGCAATGAGGTAGTGTACTCGAGTTTCGACGTGTGCTATGCACACAGAGAAAGAAGCTGCAAGAGGGCAGAGAAACAGCCACAAGAGCGGCAGCGTGATGCGCACAACGATGCATAGTGAGAGATATGCGCTGGAAAGTAGCGGCGCAACATGCGGAGGGAGAGAATTGTGACACAGCAAGGGAGATGCCGCTTTGAATAGAGAACTTCGGGGCAACAGTGCGAGGCGTGGGCAGGAAGTGCCTGCGGCGAGGGTAGGAAGTGTACGAGGTTTGGGGAAGGGAGCTGCGAGGCAGCCATGCGATGCGCAAAGAAACAGCGAATCAAGAGATTGTATAAGTTAATTAGTTTTGTTAAGTGTGGATTCTTGACCCAGGCAGAGTCTTGAAATTGTGTTAAGACAATGTTTCGGTGCTGCTTGTGGTATCCTAGGTGAAAGTGCGCCCCTTTGAAGATCTTATAGCGTAGCTCCAGGTACCAGATGTCGTCAAGAGGTCCATGCTAGAAGACGTCCAAGCGAGCTATGTGCTTTATATGCCCGGCGGTCACGACGGCGACGGGAAAAACCGGAGAGTTGATGTGGTCTACGTGCGCAAGGCTAAGCCAAAAGGGAGAAAGAAGCCAAAGAGATGTGCTCTAAGCCTAGAGAGAGAGGAGCCGCACACATCAAGAGATGTGTGCTAAGCTCAGAGAGAGAGGCTGCGTGCGGTGTGCACATCAAAAGATGTACACGGTGCGAGGCTGTGAGGCTGCGAGAGCAGCGGAATAATGTGCGCATCGAGAGATACGCGCAGTTCGAGTAGGGGCGCGAGAGTGCAAGAGATCTGCATGCGACGCGCACATCGAGAGATGTACGCGGTGCGAGGCTGGGAGAGCAGCGGAATGACGTGCACATTGAGAGATGCGCACAGTTCACACCCAGCGAGAGAGAGGCCGCGAGAGCAGCGGCGCGAGAGCGCAAAGAGAGACCTGCACACGACGCACACATCGAGAGATATACACGGTGCGAGGCTGCGAGAGCAGCGGAATGACGTGCACATCGAGAGATGCGCACAGTTCACACCCAGCAAGAGAGAGGCCGCAAGAGCAGCAGCGCGAGAGCGCAGAGAGAGGCCTGCACGCGACGCGCACATTGAGAGATGTACGCGGTGCGAGGCTGCGAGAGCAGCGGAATGACGTGCACATCGAGAGATGCGCGCAGTTCACACCCAGCGAGAGAGAGGCTGCAAGAGCAGCGGCGCGGGAGCGCAGAGAGGGCGAGAGGCTGCACGCGACATGCACATCGAGAGATGTGCGCGGTGCGAGGTTGTGAGAGCAGCGGCATGATGTGCACATCGAGAGATGTGCGCAGGTCACACCCAGCGAGAGAGAGAGGCTGCACGCGATGCGCACATCAAGAGATGTACGCGGTGCGGGGCTGCAAGAGCAGCGGCATGATGTGCACATTGAGAGATGTGCGCATTTCACGCCCAACAAAAGAGAGAGGCTGCGAGAGCAGCGGCGCGAGAGCGCAGAGAGAGGCGATGCACACGTCGAGACTCGACGCGTGCGATACGCAGAGAGCGAGAGGCCGCGTGCGAGGCGCACATCGAAAGATGTACGTGGTGCGAGGCTGCGAGGCAGCGGCATGATGTGCGCATCGAGAGATGCACGCATTGCACACTCGGCGGGAGAGAGAGGCTGCGAGAGCAGCGGCGCGAGAGGCCGCGAAGCCCGCATCGAAAGATGCTAGTGAAGGGCACAGAGGCGATGCATGCGTCGAGACTCGACACGTGCGATGCACAGAGAGAGAGGGATAGACCGAGATGCGGTGGCGCATTATGCAGAGGGACAAAGGTGTGATCCGCGGATAGGAGGGTCGTGGCGCGCGAAGGCAAAGGAATCAATAGGACCGAAGATTGTGTTTTTGCGAGCAAAGATTCAACGGTAGAAAGGGATAAAGTTGTACATTGGAATCCGACGTTTGGTGGTGTATCTTCCGGTAGATACTAAGGTGCAGTTTACGCGTGGTGTAACCCGGGAGCTTGATGGCGATGGAGGAGAGGGGCTAGTTGGGATCGACAGGCGGACATAACACCACGAGAGCATTATGCGGTGTGCCGCTGTTCGTAGTAGTCCAGACTGGATAACGACTCCTTGAGAACCTTGTTGCGCCACTCGAGCTCCACGGGGTATCAAATTATATCAAAGAAGGAAGAGAAAGCATCGCAAGAGAAGGACAGAGGGTTGACGGGGTCCGCGCCGACGGGGGTATCGACGTGAGGCTTTCCCTACAACCTTAGGCGTTGACAGTGCGCGCGGTGACGGCGGTTCCGGTCGTACTGGGAGATGTGGTGATAGTGTTGCTTGGGAAGGCGCGGGGATGCGGCACAAGTGGATATCAGGGGCGGAGGCGCGTGCAGCAGCGTAGGCGCGTGCATCGGCAATGACAGTTCGGTTTCATCCTTTTTCCTCGCATTCTCCGCGTTAACCTCGCCCAGTTCGAAGGTGGAAGGCGCTGGGATGTCGGCAGGACGTGTCGAATATGTTTCAGTGTAAAAGTCCGCAGGAAGCAAAGAAGGGAGTCCTGGACACGATGCTGGAGCCATGGTGTCAAAACGAAAGAAAAAGGAACAAAAGTGGAGGACGAGGAGGATGACTGGAGTCGACAAGGACGATGGCAGGATGAAAGCTGAGAGGTGGCTGTGTAGATAAGATTGACATGATCTAATCTACACAGTGAGACCGTGAGGGAGTCCTGCACCTACTCTCACTTCCTTGCCTATCACTCAGGCAGGCTCGCAGGCTCACCTTGCCTGAGCTAGCAAATGGGAAACACAAAAAATTAAAGGTTACCAATGGTATTCATTACACCTGCAGAAGGATTTGAACCTCCACCTTCTCAGTATCAGACTGAACGAATCATTGCGAGGAGATGATCTAGCATTGATCTATGCAAGCTTGGTGAGTCCTGGTGATTTGCAATTATCCCACAAGAGCAGGACTCGTTAAAATGTTTGTTCCGGCACAGTAATAGTGAGTACTCTTGAATGAGCTTTCGACTAGTGCTGCTGTTCACCAATTGAGCTCTGAGTCGAGTTCAGGTGTGTAGGGAGGCTTGGGAGTGAGCTCTAAGAACAGAAAAGAAACACAAAAGAGCAGAGCTCATTCCAAATGCCCGCAGGAGGATTTGAACCTCCATTTCCTCATGCACTGCATTCAAGGACCTCCTAGACTCAGCCTGAGTTCAGGGGCCTACATGAACCTACATGGACCTACACTCAGACCCACCTACGTAGAGTCTGTGTAGGTTTATGCAGGTCTGTGTAGGTCTGCGTAGCTCAGTCAAGGTCAGCTAAGGTGAATGTAGGTGAATGTAGGTCAACATAGTGACCTATGCAAGGTGAATGTAGGCGAACGTAGGTTTACATAGTGACCTATGCCGAGAGCAGTGTACTAGCAGTATATCCAATTACTATCTCCAATGAACTCACTGTGCTATTTTGCTTGAGATCAATAAAGGTGGGCATAGGTGATCCATATCACCTACGCCGACCTACGTCGATCTAGATATACCCAGTTCAGATCAGTTATGTACACCTACGCAGAGCTACGTGCACCTTTATTGATCTCCGTCAAGGTGGACACAGGTGATCTACACTGACCTATTGTAGCCGACTACACCGACCTACCTACACCTACGTGCACCTTTATTGACCCAGCGTAGGTGCCCCTTGAATGCAGTGAATATTGCCAACATGGACAGCTGCAGATGTGAAGCTTGGGAGGTGATCTAACATTGATTTATGCGGGTGCTCCGATGTGTGGTTCCAGATCGCTGCCTACGACTAGGAATCAGGACAGTGAGACATAATACAGAGCTAAAAAAAATAATTCGATCCGCTCCTCGATATGCCCGCAGGAGGATTCGAACCTCCGTCTTCTCGATAGCAGACTAGATGAAATCATATTGCAGAGAGATGATCTAGCATTGATCTATGCGGGCTTGGTGAGTAGTATACTGGTGGTTTGGAATGATGCCACGAGCTGGTAAGAGGGGACACACTTTCAGCCGCAGGGCACGGCATTGAACAGGCAATAACAGTTTGCTCACTGCCCGCTAAAGTACAGACCCAGGGATTGTTCAGTTGCGAGGCTCTTACAAAAAACCAAACACTGGTAAAAAACCAAGGACAAATGCCAAAAAAAAAGAGATAATTGACACCCTATGCCCGCAGGAGGATTCAAACCTCCGTCTTCTCGGTATCAGGCTGAACATACGCGCCAACAATATTGTGAAGAGACGATCTAGTGTTGATCTATGCGGGCTTGGTGAGTGGTGATGGTTTGGAAAGTGGACTTGTTAAAATGTGTTTGTTTGGGGCACAGTGATAGATAGCAAGAAACTCTTGCTTTCGAGAAAGGGCTGGTGTTGTTCACCAATTGGGCTCCGAGTCGAGTTCAGGTGTGTAGGGATACTTGGGAGTGAGCTCTAAGAACGGAAAAGAAATACAAAAAAAATAAAGCTTGTCAATCGGACATGCCCGCAAAAGGATTCGAACCTCCGTCTTCTCAGTATCAGGTTGAATGAATGCAGACCACATTGTGGAGAGACGATCTAGCATTGATCTATACAGGCTTGCAATTGAGTACTGGTAGTTTGGAATTATCCCACAAGAGCAGGACTCATTAAAATGTGTTTGTTTGAGGCACAGTGATAGTTGAGCTTTCGACTCGGAATTAGGATTGAGCTCCGAGTCGAGTTCAGTGTGTAGGGAGGCTTGGGAGTGAGCTCAAAGAATGGAAAAGAAACACAAAAGAGCAGAGCTCATTCCAAATGCCCGCAGGAGGATTCAAACCTCCATTTCCTCATTGCCAACATGGACAGCTGCAGATGTGAAGCTTGGGAGGTGATCTAACATTGATCTATACGGGTGTTCCGATGTGGTTCAGGATCCGCAACTAGTAATCACGAGACTGAGACATAATACAGAGCCAAAACGATGGCAGTTGTAAAAACTACATATTATATAATCACGTTGGTGTGCAGACAAGAAAGAACCGAAACGAGAGGAACTATGTACTAGTTTCACTCTAGCTCCGGTCGATCGTCTCATGCAGCAAAAAAGGACGATGCAAGAGAGAAATGCCCGCAGGAGGATTTGAACCTCCACCTTCTCGGCATCAGGCTGAACCAGTACAATGTATTGTGGAGAGATGATCTAGCATTGATCTATGCGAGCTTGGTGGGTGGTGGTGGTTTGAAATTATCCCACAAGGCTAAGAGCAGGTGAGAGTGGATTCGTCAAAATGTTTGTTTAGGAGCAGTGATAGTTGAACTTTCGACTCAGAAGGGCTGTTGTTGGTAGCCAAATCGAGTTCAGGGTGTGTAGGGAGGCTTGGGAGTGAGCTCTAAGAATGACACGAAAAGTCACGGTTCACCAACCCTTATGCCCCCAGGAGGACTTGAACCTCCATCTTCTCAGGAACGGATGCACCCATCATAATGTGAAGAGATGATCTAGCACTGATCTATGCGGGCTTGGTGTGTACTGGTGGTTTGGAATTATGCCACGAGCTGGTAGGAGGAGACACATTTTCAAACCACAATGGCAGCCAGAGGGCGCGGGGTTTGATCGCTGCCCGCTGAATACAGACCCAGGGATTGCAATTGTTGCGGAATCTATGAGGCTCCCACAAAAAGCAAACACTGGTAAAAATCAAGGACAGGTGCAAAATGACAAAATGACATTCTCCCCCCCATGGGAAAGAGAATGTCATTTTGTTCCTGCGGGCATGCCCGCAGGAGGATTCGAACCTCCGTCTTCTCAGTATCGATTGATTGCAACCACAGTATTGGGAAGAGATGACCTAGCGTTGATCTATACGGGCTTGCAATTGGGAGTACTGGTGGTCTGGAATTATCCCACAAGGCTAAGAGCAGGTGAGTGAACTCATTAAAAGGTTTGTTTGAGGCACGGTGATAGCGAGAACCTCTTGCTTTCAACTCGAAATGGTTGGTGTCGGTCACCAAATCAAGTTCAGGGTGTGTAGGGACGCTTAAGAGTGAACTCTGGGAACGGAAAAGAAACACAAAAAAATTAAAACACTCATCCCACATACCCGCAGAAGGATTCGAACCTCCGTCTTCTCGGTGTCAGGCTGAATGGATGCAGGCGCCATTGTGGAGAGATGACCTAGCATTGATCCATGCGGGCTTGATGAGTGCTGGTGGTTTGGAATTATCCTACAAGTGCAGGACTCATTAGAGTAAAATGTTTTTGTTGAGGCATACTTAGCGAGAAGCTCTTGCTCAACTCGGAAGGGCTGGTCTCGTTAGCCAAGTCGAGTTCAGGGTGTGTAGGGAGGGAGGCTTAGGAGTGAGCTCTAAGAATGGAAAAGAAACACAAAAAATGACGGTTCACCAACCCCTATGCCCCCAGGAGGATCTGAACCTCCATTTCCTTATTGCCAACATGGACAGATGTTAAGCTCGAGAACTTGAGAGGCAATTGAACGTTGAGCTATGCAGGTGTTCCGATGTGTGGTTCAGGATCCGCTACCTATGCCTAGTAATCATGAGAGCGAGACAAGATGAAGAGCGAAAAATGGAGGCCTCAGGCAGTTGTAATACCTATAGTCACGATGTGCAGCAGCGGCAGGGACTGGTTGGAGCCTAAGTAACTAGACTCTGACCGGGAAATAGGTCGGCTTACTTAGTAAGAACCAAAGGGTAAAAAAAAAGATGTCCGAGTCGCCGACCCATACCTGCAGGACAGCAGGAGGATTCGAACCTCCATCTCCTGTCTACAACAGAGGTTGAGCATGGTGAGTTTGACAGGTGATCTAGCGTTGATCTATTCAGGTGTTCCTATGTGGTTCAGGATCCGCTACCTACGCCTAGTAATCATGAGAGCGAGACATAATGCAGAGCCAGACAATGGCAGTTGTAATAATATTATATAGTCACAAGAAAGAACCGAGGTCGATGGAAGCAAGAGGAACTATGCATGTACTGGCTTCAGTCTAGCTCCGGTCGATCGTCGGTCTCATGCAGCAAAAAAGTTCGGGAAATAATAATGCCTACAGGGGGATTCAAACCTCCGTCTCTTTTGCGTATCAATTGACTGACAGAAAGTGATCCATGCGGGCTTCATGAGTGCTGGTATGGAATTAAGTATGTCAGAGCAGCAGCTGGCCATGATAGGGTAGGAGGGGACTCTTCGGGGGTCAATATCTGCCAGTTCGGGACATCGTTAACATGGTTCCGAATCGCGCAGTGGGACAAGAATTTCACAAAAAACCAAAACAAGGAGAAATATGTGCCCGAAAAACTGCAATCAGAAATATGTGCCTAAAAATAACTGCAGTCATCAACCATTCCCGCAGGAGGATTCGAACCTCCGTCTCCTGTATAAGTTATACAAACCAATCAAGAAAGTTTGACGGGCGATCTCGTTGATCTATGCAGGTGTTCAGGGGATGGATATGATTCTCTGCCTAGAGGCAAAGCAATATTAAATGACTTGTGTGGTAGGTAGTGTGCAGATGAGAACAGATGAGAAAGAACTAAGTTTAATGTCAGAGACAACTAACGTGGCTGGAGATGGGTTGTTTAGAGCCTCGATGCAGGCAGTGGTACCACAACGTAACCTATTCGAAAGAGAAAGACAGAGCTTGGTGAAACGCAAGAGGACAGGATTATTATTTTTTGGGAAAAAGTTACCTATCCACCCATGCCCGCACGAGGAATCGAACCTCCGTCTCTTCCATATATTTTGAAGTTTTTCAGCACAAATTTGCAAGGCGAGCTAACCACTGATCTATGCGGGCTCGACAGCTGTGTCGTTCACTGAGAGTAGAGATGCTTCTGGCGAAAATTGCCGAAAATACAATAGTCACGTCGTGTGTGAGTGCAGACGAGAAAGAATTGAAGACTGCCAAAAGGAAGTACTAGTATTGATATTGCTCGATTGCTCGTCAAGGTGCAGAAAAAGGTGGATTACAACCATTCATGCCCGCAGGAGGATTCGAACCTCCGTCTCCTGTATAAGTTATACAAACCAATCGAGAAAGTTTGACAGGTGATCTGGTGTTGATCTATGCGGGCTTTGGGGCATGGCCACAGTTCCTTGCCTAGAGGCAAAGCAATATTAAATGACTTGTGTGGTAGCCTGTGTAGATGAGAAAGATTTAGGACTAGAGCTGGAGATGGTTGTTTAGAGGCTCGATGCAGGCAGTGCTAGCAGAATTACATGGTAACCTAAGTATTCGAAACGAAGAGAAAGAAAGAGCTTGGTGAAACGCAAGAGCCCGATTTTTTGAGAAAAAAATGAGCGACCTATCCATGCCCGCAGGAGGATTCGAACCTCCATCTCATTGTCAACATGGACAGACGTAAAGTCCAGAGGTGATCTAACATTGATCTATGCAGGTGTTCCGATGTGTGGTTCAAGATCCGATACCTGCCACTATGTAGTCATCACAAGAGTGCGCAAAATTCGAAGCTGGGACTCGCCTATTGTTCCATCGAGAGATTGTTAGCATGTTTCCGAATCTAGAAAGGGCGGGGAACGAGAATTTGACAATTGCAAAAAATCAAAACAGGGAGAAATATGTGCCCAAAAAGAACAGCAACTATCAAGCATTCCCGCAGGAGGATTCGAACCTCCGTCTCCTGTATAAGTTACGAACCAATCGAGAAAGTTTTGACAGGCGTATCTCGTTGATCTATGCAGGTGTTTCAGGGGATGGATATGATTCCCTGCCGAGAGGGAAAGCAATTAAATGACTGTGTGTGGTAGTGTACAGATGAGAAAGATCTAAAACTAAGGTTGATGGAGACGACCAGTGCCAGAGCTGGAGATGGGTTGTTTAGAGCCTTGATGCAGGGAGTGGCATGTACCGCAATGGAACGTATGCGAAAAAGCAAGGGCTTGCAAGAGGACAAGATTATTGTTTTTCGGGAAAAAAGGTTACCGATCAACCCATACCCGCAGGAGGATTCGAACCTCCGTCTCCTGCATAAGCTATACAAATATTTCCCACATTTTGCAAGGCGATCTAACCAATTGATCTATGCGAGCTTGAGAGCTTTGCCACGCGCTGAGAGTAGAGATACCTCTGGCCAAAATTGCCGAAAATACAATAGCACGTTGGTGTGTGAGTGAAGACGAGGAAGAACGACTGCCAAAAGGGACTACTAGTACTAGTATTGATATTGCTCGTCAAGGTGCAGAAAAAGGGGGATACAAAGTGTTCATGCCCGCAGGAGGATTCGAACCTCCGTCTCCTGTATACAGCCGCAAACGAGCGAACACGTCGAAGTTGGACAGCCGAGTCGGAGATTTCTGGGGACACATTGACACAAAGGAAATTTATGGTCGGTGTCACTTCTGTGATGCTCCCGAAACATTGGAACACATTGCGTCGGGGTGTGAGGCGCATGGTCAAAAGGTGATCTGGAATCTTACGCGTGAACTATGGCTTAAAAAATACAATGACTGGCCAAACCTGTCCTGGGGATTAATTCTCGGTTGCAACCTCGTAAGATTTAAACGTAACAACCACATTGTTCTCCATGAAAAAGGAAGATTGTTTGCCATACTTGTGTCACTCGCATGGCATTTGATATGGAATCTACGAGTTAACCGAGTCGTTACCAACCCAGAACAGGCCTTGAACGAAGAAAATGTGCACAACCGATGGCTGAAAATGGTGAATGCTGCCCTGACCAGGGATCAGATACTAACCAACAAAACTCGATTTGGACCACTGTCGTTCAAAAAACAATTGGTTTTGAACACTTGGAGTGGTCTTTTGATGGACGAAGATTCATTGCCGGATGACTGGATTCACGAAGAGGGGGTTTTAGTGGGTATACGACCCAAGAATAATACAACTGGAATAGGATAAACTGCAAAGGTCGGAGCCCCACACTGGTCAATAACGTGCGTAATGGCATTTCCTCCTGGACACACCTGAAACGGCATGACTGGCGTCAAAACCAGCAACACAAGCGGATGACTTTGAATGCTTCTGCAGACGAAGATAAATCATTATTCCAAACGCTCCAAAATAAAAATAAAAATAAAAAAATAAAAAAAAAGACAGGCGATCTCGTTGATCTATGCAGGTGTCCAGGGGATGTATATGATTCCCTGCCTGGAGGCAAAGCAATTAAATGACTGTGTGTGGTAGTGTGCATGAAGATGAGAAAGAACTAAGTTTTACTTGAGTTTAATGGAGACAACCAGTGCCAACGTGGATGGCGGAGCTGGAGATGGGTTGTTTAGAGCCTCGATGCAGGCAGTGCTATGTACCGCAATGTAACCTATTCGAAAGAGAAAGAAAGAGCTTGGTGAAACGCAAGAGGACAATTTTTTTTTTTTTTTTTTTTGAAAAAACAACACTGATCTACCCATGCCCGCAGGAGGATTCGAACCTCCGTCTCCTACATAGAGCTTTATCACCAGCTAAATTTGGAAGGCGATCTAGCCACTGATCTATGCAGGCATGAGAGCTGTGGCACACACTGAGAGTAGAGAGCCTTCTGGCCAAAATTTGCCGAAAATACAATAGTCACGTCGGTGTGTGAGTGCAGCCGAGAAAGAATTGACAAGTGCCAAAAGGAACTACTAGTAAGGTAGACGCCATCCATCTTCGACAAACGTCACGTGTTATTTCCATATTCGGCTGAACAAGGAAAAGTAATTAATATCTCAGCATCGAGGAGGGTGGCAGCAAATCCCCTCGAGCAGATCACGGAAATGCATGTAAGGTACCTACACAAAAAACTCTGAGCCTCTTCGGTCTCCCTTGGTAGAGGAGTTACAGATTTCAGACGCCATCTCGGCTGCCATCAACTGCCATCAACTGCCGTCAACTTTTGATCGGTGCGGACACTGGAGACAAAATCTGTAACTCCTCCACCAAAATGCATTGGATACGCCAAAGTTTTATTCTATCGATACTATACATATAAATGTGCAATCTGCTCGAGGGGATTCATCAAAACCAGTTTCGTTGCTTTGATATTAATTGTTTTCGTGAGCTTCGCCGAGAAAGGAAATAACACGTGACGTTTGTCGAGGATGGATAGCGTCTACCTTACTAGTATTGATATTGCGCGATTGCTCGTCAAGGTGCAGAAAAAGGTCGATAGAAGGGGGTCATGCCCGCAGGAGGATTCGAACCTCCGTCTCCTGTATAAATTGCAACCGATCGAGCCAAGTTTGACAGGTGATCTCGTTGATCTATGCGGGCTTTGGGGTATGGCCACAGTTCCCTGTCTAGAGGCAAAGCAATTAAATGACTGTGTGTGGTAGCCTGTGTAGATGAGAAAGATTTAGGACTACTGTACTGTCTCGACCAAGTGTTCATGTCACAGATCACGGCGACTTGTGAACTGAACACTTTTTAACACCGTCACGGATCACAGGCCTCAAAACCATCGAATTTGGGAAAAAATGGCACCAAAAATCGAATTTTTCTCGGCCCGGATTGCCATTTCAGGCAATTTCCCACGAAATGAACACCTGGTTTTCTGAACACTTGAGGTCACGCATCACAACCTGTGAACACTTGGTCGAGACAGTACAGTAGAGCTGGAGATGGTTGTTTAGAGGCTCGATGCAGGCAGTGCTAGCGGAATTACATGGTAACCTAAGTATTCGAAACGAAGAGAAAGAAAGAGCTTGGTGAAACGCAAGAGCCCGATTTTTTGAGAAAAAAATGAGCGACCTATCCATGCCCGCAGGAGGACTCGAACCCCCGTCTCCTACATATATATTTTGACATCCTTCAGCACAAATTTGGAGGCGATCTAACCAATTGATCTATGCGAGCTTGAGAGCTGTGGCACACACTGAGAGTAGAGATGCTTCTGGCCAAAGTTTGCCGAAGATACAATAGTCACGTCGTGTGTGAGTGAAGACGAGAAAGAATTGACTACTGCCAAAAGGATTGATATTGCTCGATTGCTCGTTAAGGTGCATAAAAAGGTGGATACAAGGCGTTCATGCCCGCAGGAGGATTTGAACCTCCGTCTCCTGCATAGTATGCAAATACTTCAACCACAAGTTTAGAAGGCGATCTAACCATTGATCTATGCGGGCTTGAGAGCTGTGTCGCTCACTGAGAGTAGACATGCTTTTGCCTTTAAAATTCGCCAAAAATGTAATATCTATCGAACCCCCGCCTCACATGTCGGGTGGAACATGCATTGCGTTGACGTCGATCTGGGACGAAATCGCAGGATTCGAATGCGTACATTCATGACGTTCCTGCGGGAAGCGGTCTAACCGAGGATTCACCGCGTAGGCGCGAAGGAGTTGAATAATTGTCTCATATCTCCGTCGCGAGCTCCAATGTGCGAAGAAAAGCCTGAGGGCAAGCGATAATCTACACTGGCGTTGCACTTGCCGTGAACGGCACTTGACTACGCCAGGGTCAGATAACAAACATGCCCCACTTTTAACGCCGCGACTCGTTACCAATTGCGATCGAGTAACAAAAACCGCCGTGTAGTGCTGTTACCGTTTACAGCGCCCGCAGATAGCAGTTACCCCGCGGACTGCGCATGTCGATGTACGTGGGGGGATAGAAGATGGAGGAACAAATCGCGGATAGGAGATGGCCGGGTTGAGTCATCTTGGCTGCCGTGGCTTGCGCGGCGAGTTGCCACAATTTGTCAGCATCCGCATTGGGCGGCCACAACAGCAAGAGCAAATAATTTCTCGTCTTTCTTCCTACCACCACAACAAGGTCTCACTTCAATCTCAACAAAGCAAAGTTACGCATAGAGAGCGCAATATGCAGGTGGACTCGCCAATGAGCCAGCAATCGCTGTTTGGGTCGGGTGGAGGGGGATACACCGACTACCAGGACCTCGACAACATCTTCCACACAGAGCTCTTCTCCCTCCCCTCATCGGGGGGCTCACCCTCCTCGTCCTCGTCCCACGACCTCCACTCCTCCTCCTCGGGCAGTCGCGAGAGCACGCCCCACCTCCTCACGCCCCCGCAGCCTGCCCCCGTGCACAGCTTCCCCGACATCGGCGTGCGCGACGGCAGCCCCACGCCCTCGTTCTTCAACTTTCTCGACGAGGACGTCAAGACGCTCGACCCCCTCGCTATGCTCTCCAGCGCCCCGTACGACTTTTTCGGCACCTCCTCGTTCGCCTCCAACGCCAACGCCCTCAGCGCATTCAGCGCGGGCGGGAGTATGGACAGCGAGATGAGCGCGATGCTCGGCATCGACCCGCAGCTCGTCGGGTCGCCCGCGGCACAGCCTTACGCCGACTTCGAGTCATCCCCTTCCTCCTCTTCCTCACAAACAAACTCCACCTCGCCCAATTCGGAGTCGACCTCCCCCACGTCGCCCGAGCCGGTGATAGCGCCGGTCAAGGTCGGCGGGCACGGCAAGGCGCGCAAGGGCACCGTCGTCTCGGGGGGCATCAAGAAGGCCTCGTCGTCTGCGCACGCGCACCCGCCCGCTGCCTCCACGTCGGCGGCGAAGGAGAACACCGCCACGGCCGCGTCCAACATGTTCATGCCCGCCACGCCGTTCAAGCCTCGCGCGGCGGCGAGTAACAAAGGGGGCGACGACGACGACGACGACGACGATTTGCCGGCGGACTGGCGCCCGCCGCCGGAGGTGTTCCAGAAGATGAGCAGCAAGGAGAAGAGGCAGCTAAGGAATAAGATTAGTGCGAGGAATTTTAGGGTGCGGAGGAAGGGTGGGTGTCTTTGCTTTCTCTTTCTTTTTAAACTCATACTAATTCGCTTCGTTTGGCAGAATACATATCTACTCTCGAAGACAACATCGCCGAGCGCGATCGCCTCCTCTCCGCCATCCGCTCCGAGCTGGGCTCCACGCAATCCGAGAACCTCGCGCTGCGGCAGGAGATCGCGACGCTCAAAAGGACGTTACTCGAAGGACGGGGCCCAGCGCCCGTGTTGCCGCCGCCCGCCGCCCTCCCCGCCTCGCCCTCCCTCGCCTCTCTCTCGTCTCCCCCCTCCTCCTCCACCTCCTCCTCCTCCAACTCCAACAACGCGACTTCGAGTGCCGCCGGGCCGAGTAGCACCCTCGCGAAAGAGCTCGCCGCCGCACACACCCTCAAGGACGTCTCCTCCTCGTCTGCGACGGCGCGTTTCTGGCAGGGGACGGGCGGGCTGGGGATGGGGGGGTACACCAGTGTGCATACGGCACGGATACCGGAGCTGCAGCTGTTTGGGGCGAGTCCGTTTGCGGCGAGTGTGTTTGCGAGCGAGGTGGGTCGTCTTACTCTATTCTACTCTTCCTTCGCGTTATTCCTTTGTACGAACGCTCGCTGACTTTTCTTTCTTTTCTCGCAGTCCACGCCCGCGCAAGCGCAGGCTCAACAACAAGAGAACCTCAACCCCCTGCTCAACATCGCGCCCTCGGCCAAGGTCACCGAGGTCGTGCGCGCGGGGCTCGGTTTGGGCGCCGGGACGGGTGCGCCCGGGGCCAATGCGAGTGGGGGTGGGGAGGCGTGGGGGGACGCGAACCCGTTTACGGTGCGGAGTTTGGATGCGTGAGTGGTTTTCTTCCCTTTTTCCTTCATTGGGATCATCATGCGTCTTTGCTTTCGAGCGAAATCGTGTGTGCGTTCGCTCGACGAACGGATGCACCCTGCCTTGCGCGCTCGCTCGCTTCCTTCGTCGTTATCTATACTCGTACTGACGTACCCTCGCCCATAGGTACCGCATGCACCTCTGGGGCCGCATGGCCGCGCAGTATCGGCACAACAAGGAGCACACCCCCTCCTCCGCCTCCGCCATGGGCAGCGGGAACAACGCGAACCCCTTCGCGAGCGCGCACCACAACGGGAGCGCGTCGCCGTTCAGCAACGGTTCGCCGCATGGGCACGCGAGTGCGTTTGCGCCGTCGCCGTTCTTCAATCCCAACGCCTCTGCCTCTGCCTCTGCCAACAACAACGCCAACAACTCGTACAACAACAACAACGCGTACGCGAGCGCGAACACGCACTCGCCGCCGCATTCGCCGCCGTTCCCGCTGTCGGGGCTTGCGGGGGGCTTGCGGCCGAAGTACTTTGCGAGTCCGTTGGCGGGGGCGTTTTATGCTGGGCATTCGACGTCTACATCCTCGTCCTCCTCCTCTTCGAACTCCTCGTCTTCGTCGCCTTCGTACGGTGGTAACGGGAGCGGGAGCGGGAACGACAAGCCGACGGCGACGGCGTCGTCGCTGGCTGCGAGCCTCGCGGGGCTGTCGTTGTCGGGGATTACGGGCAAGGGTGCGGGGCTGGAGCAGGCGCAAAGGCAGCAGCAGCGCGAGAGGGAGAGGGAGAAGGAGCGCGAGAAGGAGCGGGAGCGGGAGACGGCGATGTATGCGGCGCTGGCGAGCCAGACGCTCCTGCGGAGGCTTGGGGGCGCGTTTTGGGAGGCGTTTTCGGGGGCCGACTCCTCCTCGTCTTCTTCCTCCAAGTCGTTGGGAGGGGCAGGGGCAGCGAGTGGGAAGGGGTGGGACGCGGAGAAAGTAAGGAAGGTGTTGGAGGGACGGGCGGTTGTGCGGGTTGTGGATGTGGAGCCGCTGGTTACGAGGAGTGCGCCGGGGAGTCCGAGGATTGGGGCGAGTGTGCCAAGTCCTGCGGTGGTTCCGCAATTGCCGACGAAGGAGGAGGGGAGGAAGGGGGAGTGCGCGAAGGCGTTTGGGGCGGCGTTGGAGGAGAGTATGAGGAGTTTGAGTTTGGGGAAGAAGTAGGCGCGTGGAGGCGTCTGCTTATTCGCTTTGCTCTCGCTTTCGCTCGATTCGCCATCACTCCGACCACCGACTCTACACTTCGACCACCACGCTGCCGCCTATCGATATCTGTTTTCATCCATCCATCCATCTCATTCCGCGCGCTACGCATTATTATATGCGCCGACGACGACACACTCTCCTTCATCATCTGTTTTGTTTCTCTCACCATCTGCTCGACTCATCTCCTCGACTCCGACTTGGCCATCGACTCCGATTGGAATTTGGACGCTATCGACTACTTGTTTTTGCGTATCCTCGATATAATATAATCAATTCAATCCGACTCTCTCATCTCGAGGCGGCGGCGGCGATTCGTCCTCTCCTCCCTTCTCCTCTCATCCACCCAACTCTGCGACGGCGTCGGCGTCGGCGTCGGCGACTCGATATCCCCGACCCCGACCCCGACCCCGAGGTCGACTCGACTGCGGCCGCGTCACCCCGAACGCGTGTCATCGTGCTTACGCTGCATGCCGAGGGCATCAGCGCGATTCGTCATGTATGTGGTTTGCGCGCCGTTCAACCGGGGCTGTGGCGTGGTGCACGCACGGACCACGCGCAGGGCACGGACTCTGTGCATCGTGTATCGTGTATCGTTTGATCATCCCCACCCCACCCCAACTCCACCTCGTCTCCTTTCGTTTCGTTTTTCGTTTTCCCTTCGTTTACCGATTTGTTACCGATTGATAGTTACATAGCTGACTGAAATGTACATATATATAGTAGACAGAAAGAAGGAAAGAAAGAAAGAAAGATACGGCTATAGCTAGTACTTGTAGTAGTGTTTTTGGATAATTGAATCGTTTAGCTTACTTTTGCGGGCGATGTGTGATTTCGAGGGTCCTCGGTGGAGTTTAGTCCAGGCTATCGGCGCGCGCCAAAGAACGTGAGTACGTCTAACCGGACATGGCCAAAGTACGGGGTTGTGAAGCCTTGAGGAGGCCGAGCCTGGTTAATGAGGAGATACCCGATGCACCGAGGCACGTTGAAGCGGGGTGGTTTGAACGTTGCGCACGCGCAGGACTCGTTGCAACTTGCAGGCAGTTGAAATAACGTCGTGATCCAGTGGGTGTGTTATTGGGCATGCGCAGAAAACCGGTATGCCCTCGTGGATAAAGGATATCACCTCCTTCTATTGTCGTGTTTGAGTACAGGGTTGAAAGTAAGGAGGGGATGCAGGTTCGATTCCTGCCGAGGGCATGCGCATCTGGGATCCTGATTTTTTTGGTTCCTGTGTCTAAATTTCAGAGCTCAGAGCGGAGAATTGAATTTTTTTCTTCTTCAAGTTGACCAGGTCCCTGACGGTATCGACGAAGCAAAAGAAAACTGATCA